TCAATTACGTCAGGGGCGTCGTTCTCGTACCGTTCTCACTGGTCGATTGAAAAAGGCCAGGTTTAAGGCCCGACGCCTATTGAAGATAAAGAAGGCTGGTGCAAAGGTTGCAGGTATTGTAAACACTAACTTGCGGCCCACTGTCATGTACGGCATTGATGTCGTCGGTCTATCTACTCATCAGATTCGTCAGGTCCGTGCTATATACCACGCTGGTCTCGGCACAGGTAAGCGTAGGTCTGTCACGATGGATGTGGCGTTGCATGGTGTTACCGACCCTGCTATTGACGCACATGATGAGGTTATTCGTCTCTGGACTGTCTCTAGATGGGACTCTCTTCTTCCCGTCGGGATGATAGACCAAGTTTTCCAGTTAGCCTACGCCAAGGTGACACCAGATACTCCGTGGACTGAATTGCAGGGCCCAGGACAGATTTTGGTTGCCACTATGCGTAGAATTGGCTGGTCTGCGGTTTCGCCCACAATATGGCGGAGTTCTCTTGGAACCGATGTCGATATTTCGTCTACTCCCCCTCGTGAGGTGGTTGCACTAGTGACTCGCGACGCGTCTGTTTGGGCTTGGAAACAGGCCTCTGAGCGTCACCCATCCTTCAGTCACCTGTCTGGACCCCCTTTCCTGCCCCCTCTTCTTTCCCTGTTGTCTAAAAAGACTGAAGGATGGGGTGTCCTCCAGCAACGTGCTTTGAGGACTTTTATATCTGGGGGCATATAATTTAAACCTCTGTGCCCCATTTGCCAGGTTGCCCCCGCTGACCGTGTTTCACACCCTGTATGAGTGTGATGGGCTCGTGGAGTTTCGCCGCTGGTTCGGCCCGACTCCAGCCCTCACCCGTTGCATAGAGCAGTACCGCGAGAACCCTGTCTGGACCACTGCCACGGTTCCCGACCCGCGCTACTGCTCCCTGATTGCACCACCTTTCCCAGACCCTGTCTGGGAAGGGGCCGCAGACGGCCCCTTTTTTCTCGTCGCCTGCGTACGGAGACGGCTCGGGAAAGCATGGTCCCTCGCCGCTCACTCTCCGTTGTGGATCGGGTGTTTGCTCATTTGCTCCGCGTAGTCGACATGTGTTTGGTGAGCCCATCGCCAATGATCGGCTTCGGCTTAGTGCTGGTGCCTATGGCGTATATCCCTTTCTCACCCAGGATGTTCAAGGGGCTGAGCTTTACGCGTTTTTATTTTATCTAACCCATGCCGCCCCCTCCGACTGCTATGAGTTTGTCACTGATGCCCAGTATGTCGTTGACGGTTGGGCAATGGGGTATGAAGCTACCACGCACGGCTGGGCCACTCACGCATCCTTGTGGGTCCGTGCCCACCGCGCGGCTTCAGATATCGGATATCACCTAATTAAGGTCACCAAGGTTCGTGGCCACTCTACCTCCGCGGGCAATAAGCAAGCCGACAGACTTGCTAACCTAGGTGCAGACCTACACACTCTGGACACGGTCCTGCACGACCGTATCAAGCGCTCTGGTTTGCTGGTGCGCAATCTTGGTGTGTATATCGGTCATTGTACAGCATGGATTTTCAAGAATGTGCCCAAAAAGGTCTGGGCGGCGGATTCTGACGAGTCCCCTGCCCCCGCGGCCCCATCCCTAGCCCTCTCTGGTGCCTCCTCTGGGGCCTTGCACGAGCATTTCTGGGACCCCTCAGCGGGTCGTTTTCGTTGTGTGAAATGTTGGGCTAGTTCAGTCTCTAAGAGCTACGTATTGCGTTCGCAGTGCTCTTCTCCCACTGGCGGTGGGCACGTGCTCAGGCGGCTAAATAATATCATATTTTGTCGACGATGCGGCCGCTACTCGTGTAAGAAGGCAGTTGGTTTAACTAAATCATGCACTGGGCCTCCTCGGGCCTCTGGCACCATCTCACGGCTTCGACGCATGTGTGATGGTCGTGACCCCGGCACTGATCAACCAGTCGGTGAGGTCACTGCGGTTGACAATGTCAACGTTATATATGCTTTTCCTGCCCCTCACGATGTCTTTAATTTTCAGGCACGGTTTGATCCTGCATGGCTTTTAGAGGCTCCGTAGATTTCCCGGGGTATACTTCGGAGGTGGGGTGGATGTAACCTGGGATAGCTGGTCTGTCTCGTCTGTCTGATGCTGGCAGGACTACTCGGATCCCCGACACCAGCCGCCAGAAGTGTTGTTCTGCAGTACTCCCTTTCCTGGCCGCTACAGAGGACAGCTTCCAGGAAGTAGGGTAGGCTTGGGATAAGTGGGTACAGAGGCGCTGAGAAGCAGGCACCCGTTCCGCCTGCGCCCACTTATCCCGTTTGTGCTTTTGTCATTCCTCCCCCGGCCAGGCTCGCAAAGAGAGAAAACTCTTGCCCGCCCGCCGCGCGGGGATATCTGTGCATGCCTCTCTGTCTGTGCTTTCTCTCTGACAGCCGGACAGTCGGACAGTCGAAATGTCTTATGGCCGACACGCCAGAGACTAGTAGGCTGAGGACGAGTGGGTACAGAGGCGCTGAGAAGCAGGTACCCGTTCCGCCTGCGCCCACTCATCCTCCTTTTGTGCTGCTTTTGTCTTTTCCCCCGCCCAGGCTCGCAAAGAGAAGGAAAGAGAATTCTCTTCGCTGCCTGCTGCGGGGGGCGGCATGCTTTCACGCCTAGCTTTGCTCTCTGAAGTGTCCTGTGCCGATTCGTCAGGGTTCGTAGGCTAGGCTGAGGATGAGTGGGTACAGAGGCGCTGAGAAGCAGGCACCCGTACCGCCTGCGCCCACTCATCCTGTATGTGCTCCTTTTGTCCCCCTCCCAGCCCAGGCTCGCGAAGAGAGGAAGGGCTCTCCGCCGCCGTGCTGCGTCTGTCTTGTTTGTATAATGCTGCTGCCTGGCCAGAGGTTGAGGCTGGAAGCCCAGGAGCCAGGACGCGGGCTTCAAATTGTCTCGCCAGTCTTGCCAACATCGTTTGTTTCGGGCCTTCGATTTGTCGTGGTCCCTGTTTGCTCGGGTCGGTCCCTCGCTCGGCTCTGTCGGGTCCTGGTCCGTCCCTCGCTTCTTTCGGCCCTCCTTCGGGCCCCTCGCTCGTCGTTTCGGCGCCACGGGCAGGAGTGTTCGGCAGACGATCACCCGCGCGCAAAACAAAATCCAGACCCGCTCCACGGCGAACGAATGGACTAGGCCTGCCCTCCAGTTCCCACGGAAGGCTACCACAATTCTCCTACACGTAGAGAATCTAGCCTCCCATCCACACCGATGGTAGTCTAGCGTATCGGTATACTGACACTATCAGAGACCACCCATCCTTCTCATGATACTCAGCAACGAGCGTCCTGTTGTCTGGCACCTGCTGATCAGCAATGTACCACACGAACGTCTGAGGACGACCCAACTCCCCACGACATGCCGCCTGAACATACTTACGAAACTCTGAAAAGATTCCGTGTAACTTACCCATCTGTTGGACATGTGATACATGTCAAAACGCAGCCTCAATATTGAACCGAGTCGACCTCGGGACTGGGGATAAATTGCCTACATGTAGCTGGTGCTGCCAACGTTGAGCAACTTCCCACACGAACTGCCGTGGAGCACCTTTCTTGAAATACACCCGCCCGCTGGTATACGGCCAGCATCGCCGAGTGCTCTTAACAATCGTCAGATGGTGGTCGACAACATATTTCACTGAATATTACATTGTTTGATTGAAACCATTACACTCAATTGGATTAGTTATACACTGTGTCCACATGTCCTGTTTCAGTCCATCCTGCTGCTTCACCTCACGATTCCGCCATCCCTCACGAGAAATCCAACATTTGAACTCAACATACGCCGCCTCCCGATACGAAATACCGTTTTGGCCCCTCGTTGCTCCCGTGTTGCTGACACGAGTGGAGCCGCTCGCCGTCGATCTGTCATCACCAGTCTGCAACACCACAATCTTGTTGTTTACTGTCATCAACAATCCGTCTCAACTCTGCCAGATCCGAAATACCCTTGTCAACTTCCATAAATCGCGACAACACCCCGTTTGAGGTCAGTTTTCAAACTCGCTAGCTCTTCCTGAACTTGCCCCTGCCCTGCGATGATCTTGAGAAACATCTCATGCGTAGACCTACCACCCACTCCGTTGTTTCGTGTGCCTCCTCCTTTTGACTGTACGTTCCGCTGCCATGCCACTTCCTCACCCGTCCCCATGGCGTGATCCCCTGCAGGCAAGCCAGGCGAGGCCTGGACTATGACAGGTCTCCTAGCAGCCTAGCCTGTTCAGCCAAGGGGCTGCCTGGGCATGCCCACCAGCGAGGTGCATTCGAAACCCTCAGGGAGGACTCGGCACCCCCCTGTTGCATCGTAACTACATCCGCGTCGATGTTAAGACATCCTCCTGCTTCTCCTGCTCCCCCCCCCCTCCTCGTCATCATCGTCATCACCACCACCATCACCATCATCAGCTTCAGCATCATCATCAGCAGCAGCATCAGCAATATCCTCATCATCATCACCACCACCAGCATCATCATCATCATCGTCATCAGCAGCAGCATTGTCATCATCATCATCATCATCATCATCATCATCATCATCATCATCATCATCATCACCATCACCATCACCATCACCATCACCATCACCATCACAATCATCATCATTTTCATCATTATCAGCATCAGCATCATCAAATAATCACCACCAACAACACTGATAGCATCATCAACAACATCAGCATCAACATCACCATCCTCATCATCCTCATCATCATCATCATCACCGGCATCATCATCCTCATCATCATCATCCTCATCATCATCATCATCGTCATCATCGTCATCATCATCATCATCATCATCATCATCATCATCATCATCATCATCATCATCATCTTTCCTCCTTCTCCTCCTCCTCACCCCCTCCCTCCCTCCTCCTCCTCTTCCTCCTCCTCCTCCTTCTCCTCCTCCCTATTACATCCCTCGCCCTTCTTCATCCGCCGCCACGACAGCGGCGGCGGCGACAGCAGCGGCGGGGCGGGGCGC